TTCCACTTTGCACAGCAGCCACATCACCCCAACACCCCCCCCCACCAACCCAGGCCGTGCCCCACCAACCCTAACACGTCTGTTATTATACTCATCTTATAACACGTTTGGTGGCGGGCTGATTGTTGCTAGATGAAAGCCATCGACGTTTGAGAACTGCTGTAAAATCTAAAAGAGAGTATGCCTTCATTGTCATGGAATCCAGCACGTCGCAGTGGTACGTATTGTAAAACTTTGACGTGGACTACTTATGGTTTGCGTGAGTAAAAATGGATCGCATTATGTTAACGAGAATTTTGAGACAAGAAATTACTCAAGAGTAAGAGGATAATTTTATTTTAAAAACTATATTATTGGGTATGTTTAAATTTACGCTACTCAACTTACTGGAATCAAGTTTAGAAACAACACATGTGATTTAGGAACATACCCAAAGGGATGTAAGTAGGCGGCAACCAAGGGCAGCCTACTATGTTTTACAAAGATATGCAACGTATCCGACACAAAGAATAATTATTGTTCTCTACAATAACTTTACTGTTACAGAATCTTATACCAAGACTGACATTTTACTTGGACTTTTAAAAGACTCCCTGTTTACTTTCAAATCTATGGAGTTGGTCTTAAAGCTTGTAGCATGATTCTGTTTAGACACGTGACCTAATTTGGTCGGTATAATCGTCTGTCTCGTGCTGACCTAAAATCTCGCCTGTCTTGATGACACATTGTTACCTGTCTGTTGGAGCGATGGTCACAAAGGGTGTGGGGGAAGGCGTTAGGGTGGTACGTCATAGGAAGATGCGACAACGTGATTAAGAAAACCACAAAACAACCCCCCCCCCCTTTTTTCCCGCTTACAAGAAACATCGGTGCCAACTGTAGGATATTTTAATTAAGATGCTCGGGAAAACTTTTGGGCATTACATTTCTGCCATTAAACTCTGAATGAGCGGCCATTCAATTCTAGTTTTAAATTCTATCCCTCGATAAGGCGCCGAGTAAATGTCCAAACATCGTTGTTATCAGTTGGTGTTCAAAAATATAATCTGCTTGTGTAGATGATTACATATAAAATTTGCATACTAAAATCATTGAAAAAAAAAAAAA